TCAATGTTGATTCAACGCTGACATGTTTGCTGAGTAGGTTGTGAGTGTTTATATTATAAAGATAAATTAAGGTAGTAGATCCCTGTTTCACTCTTTGCATTAGATAAAATGGATATAATTTGCAACCTAGATAAGGACAGAGGCACTGCTTCGATCGCAAATAATGACTATATGGTAATAACAATATATAGTGGCAATTTTTTATTATTGTAGAGTTTCTTATTAGAATGTTCCAGTCGCAGCTATGAAACACTTTTTTAGCACCAAGGTAACAGAGGTTTTAGCATCAAGGGAACAAAGGTAGACAGACGAGTTGTTGTTGTTATAATGTTTAACATTTTTTATTAATAACAAATTGGGTCTGTAAAGTTGAGCTATTTTTAGCAAAGCCAAACTGAAGAGGATGAGTTTTTTTATTCATTTCTGGACGGATAATTAAAATAAGATAATCTATTAGTTTCCTAAAGATTGGAATAAATGTGATCCCACGGTAGTTATTGAGATCAGTTCATAACTTTTAATTTTTTAGCGAGTGGTATAATAATTGATGTTGACTTTGGGGTCTGTCCATGATTAATAGAAAAGGTAAAAAATTTTCTGAGCCATTCTGTTAGTGCTTCTTAATGCTCGCATTTTAAAAATGTTTTGCTGCGATTCTAAAGACGTCCTTGGACTTGTTTAGTTTTAGGCGAGAAATAGTCGTTTTTGTACTATGCATCTTTTTTCAATAACAACATCAATAATGTAAAGAATACCTGAAACGGAATTAAAGAAATCATAAACATCAAACCTTCTACTTATACTAAGTCTTTTAATCTCAATATCAATGAAAATGTCAACTCAGATCATACCAGTGTTGCTAATATATTTAATCATTATTTTGCGACTATTCAAGACAAACTTTTTAAAAATAATGTTCCCTCTAAATTTGCTTTTGGCAACTTTCTTAAAATACCTAGTACTAATTCTTTTTTCATTGATCCTGTGACTAAAAATGAGGTAGCGAATCTCATAAAAGGTACTCTTAAAAGTAATAAAAGTCTTGGTCCCAATAGTTTGCCAACATTTCTACTAAAGCTGGTATCTTACATAATCTCCAAACCGCTATGTACTATGATGAATAATTCTTTCAAAAATGGTATTATTCCAGAAGCTTTTAAGGTAGCCAAAGTAATTCCTATACACAAAATGGGTTTCTATCTAGACTACTCCAATTATTGACCTGTTTCACTTCTTTCTAACTTAAGTAAACTGTTTAAAAAAGCAATGTTCGAAAGACTCAAGCATTTTTTTGAAAATCAAAAATTTATTTACAAACACCAATATGGTTTTCGCAACAAACACTCAACAACTCATTCGTTAATAAAAATTACAAAGAAAATTAGACAAGCCATCGATAATAAACACTTTGCGTGTAAGTGTTTATTGACATAAGAAAAGCACTTGATACAGTTGAGCACTCAATCTTCCTAGAAAAACTGAAACACTGCGGTATAAGAGGTATTCCTTTTCTCTGGCTTTCCTCTTATCTTTGTAATAGAACACAATTGTTTCAATCAATGGTATCAACTCAGGACTAGCTAAATCTTTTAATGGTGTTTTGCAAGGCTCGGTGTTAGGTTCATTGCTTTTCTTATTTTTATCAATGATTGAAATGTTTCTTCTAAATTTTCTACTGCTTATCACTTTGTGGATGACACCAACTTACTCCTAATTAACAAGTCACTTAAAAAACTTAACAAAAATATAAATCACGATCTAGCTAATGTAGTTCAATGGCTCCACTCCAATAAATTATCTCTTAACTCTAAAAAAAACGGAAATTATTATATTTAAATCTGTTCAAACAAAATTAAATAAGCAATTAAATTTCAGATTAAGTGGGCAGAAAATAAATCCAGTTAACTCTATTAAATATCTTGGAATTGAAATAGACTCTAATTTATCTTTTGCATCGCATCTTCAAGACTTAGTATTGAAATTAAGCAGATCGAATGCTATTTTAGCTAAAATTCGTCATTATATTAATCATAAAACTTTGCTTAACATATATCATGCTATTTTTCACTCTTATCTTAGATATGCTTGCCATGTTTGGGGACAATCTAAGCAGCTTGCTTTTTAAAGACTAACTCATTTCCAAAACAAAGCTCTAAAATTAATAACTTCTAACATACTAACTCGAACTGTAGTATACTCTATTTTTTATCTAAAGTCATTAAATTATGTGAACTTATTCAACTATCAAAATGCCTATTTGTTTGGAACCAAAATCATAATAACCTACCTCTTACATTTATCAACTTTTTTAGTTATAGGGAAAATTGTAAATATATTTTATGATCTGCTTTCAACTTTAAATTATCTGTACATAAATACCGAACTGTTCATTACGGCTACGAATCCATAAAACATAAAAGCATACAAACCTGGAACAACCTCCCTTCCCAAATAAAATATCTTAAATCATTCTCAAAATTTAAAACTGCTCTCTTTAACCATTTTTTATAATATAACTGTTAATAAATCTTATATCCTTTTACAACTTATTATTTAAAACCCTAACGCGTTTCTATTCATCTGTTACTTTTTTCTCTTTTCTATTGTGATATATTACTAATTTTAATATCATTTATTAAATTTATTATTTTAAACTGAAATGTTTCAATAGTATTCTCTTTATCGCTATTGTTGTTATTATTACTATATTTTTATCATAATGAATATTATTGTTATTATTATTATTATTGTTATTGTTATTATTATTATTATTATTATTATTATTATTATTATTATTATTATTATTATTATTATTATTATTATTATTATTATTATCATTATTAGAGTATATACTTTTATAATCGCTACTATTATTTTTTATCACAATAATCACTACTATTACCTTATTATTTCTACTTGTATTATAATTATTATCTCAATCTTATTTTCATTTAGTCTGACAGGTGTTTACTTTATATTAGTACAAATTACTATTTAATATTTATAATTTATAATAAATAATAAATTTAATATTTAATAAATAATATTTGTAAATGTCTTTGATATAACAACTATATTCAGAATATATTTGATTTGATTTGATTTATATTATAACCTTGTCGTATCTTGTACACTTTGAAACTTGAAAATTTGTAAAAGCATACCTTTACTTTCAAGTTATATATATATATATATATATATATATATATATATATATATATATATATATATATATATATTATATATATATATATATATATATATATATATATATATATATATATATATATATATTATATATATATATATATATATATATATATATATATATATATATATATATATATATATATATATATATATATATATATATATATATATATATATATACATATATATATATATATAGGCACGCTGGAAAGGGGTAACTTAGGGTAAAAACTGCTACTCCTGCTCTTTTGGATGGGGTTGCAAGAGTAGCATGAATGTGCCCTTTTTAGGAAATAGGTATGGTAAATTTTTGTGCTTTAAAAGCATTTCATTATTCAACTTTCATTAGTAATATTTTATTATCAATATCTGCCACCTGGAACTGTTAATAGAAGGGATAGGTGGTTATAGATTAATTTTTTTCAAATTTTTTAAAAGCGAAACAGTTTAAAATTTATTTAAACGAAACTTTAAAAAATATTTTATTGAAGAAAAAAAAATAGCCCAGAATCAATAAGCAGCAGTGGTGCAACTCAGAAACAACTCAGATAATAAACCGAAGTTAAAAAATTTTTTGTAAATCGCAATCACGTTTAGAACTAATATGTTTCCAAAAATCAATTCAAAATTAAATAAAATATGTTATATTCAATTTTATTCTTCTTGCTTTCGACATTTCCATCTTTTTGCTATTATGCTTAAACTCTTTATACATATTCGAAATGTTTTTTAGATGTTTTGCAAAAAAGCAATAGTTTTTTGAGTTTTATTTAGTTTGTTTTTTTATTTTCGATAATTATTTTTGATTGGTGATTAATCACCAAATAATCGAAAATAATTATTCAAAAATAATTATTTTTGACGATTATTTACGAACAAATTTATATCTCTTAGTACTTTATTTCTTAATCATAAACTTAACTTAAACCACTGTTTTAACCACCGAACAGTCATGCCGAAGGCCGAAAGACTTAAAAAAATAATAATAATAATAAGGAATTATCAAAAGCAGCAGCATCACCTTATCAGATCAAAATTACTACTATGTTGAAAGAAGATCCTTAGAGAATCCTCACGGTGAACTACAGAATCAGGATAAAGTTGACATAGGCAGTAAAAAAAACAGAAAAAACAGGAAAAACAAGAGTCCAATGCAAAAGATGGTGAAATTCAAAGGGAAAATCTTTTTAGAAAAGCGGAGGACTTTAATAAAATTGATAAAAAAAACTGACAGAAATGGAAGAACTTATATTAAGACTTGGTTTAATGACTTTAGTTAGTTATTTTATGATCGATCACTGAAAGCTGTTAATATAAAAATATGATTCATGTTCTGGTGGAGTGTTGAAGCATGTAGTTGGGAAAGAATTTAGAACATGAAGCAAATCTGCTGCAGCACTAAAAGTTGCGCATAACATTTATTCATATTTCTTTCGCTATTAATTTTTTGTAGGACTAAGTTTTGTCAGTCATTTTTTTTTTGTTGGTCATTTTGCTTTTGGCAAGTTTGATTAAAGAAACAAAATTTGCCAAAAGCGAAAATTATTAAAATATGTTTAAAAAGTAAATTTGGAAAAATTCTTACCGATGGTGTTGCAGGATTTATTTGGTTTGAACACCTATGTGTCTCGAATCACCCCTCAAATATTTTTGTAATATATTATTAGTATTACTTTATAGATTTTCAAACCGTGAGCTGTTAAAACAAATTGTGTAATCAAATTTAGCACAAATATTTACATTTAGTGTTTATTTTGCGCGTAGAGTTGAACTGATTAGATCAGCATTTCTTTTAAGTTCTAAAGAAATCAAGTAAAAATAAACTGCATAAAAAGCAAATTTAAAAAAAAGTGAAAAAGAATAAGTTTCATAGCGTATTGTTACGCAGTAGTTTGACCATAGAGATCGGTTTCTTAAATTTAGAAGCAAATGGTTTGAATATCGTGTAATTTCTAGTTCTGGAAAAGATTAAACAACCGTCAATTATAAAACTCTGTTTTAATTACAAACATATATAGAAAGATTTTTAACTTTATTTCAATATATTATTTATGTACATTACACAATGATATTTTGAGTATTTAATTTTTTTGATGAACTAAAGATTAAATGAGCAAAATTTGAGTACGTAAAAATGCTTTCGAAAGAACAACTTCTTAAAAACATAAATGACAATTCTATACTTGATCTAGAAATAGGAATTCACACAAAAAAAAAAGTTTTAAAAGTTGATATAAGTAAAATACGAGAAGAAATAGAAAAAATAACAGCATCAGAAGAAAGCGAAACAAATAAAATTACTCATCTAAAAAAATTAGAGAAAGAACAATATAAACCTTTGATCCATGAACTAGCTTACAAGAAGTCAGTAGAAGAACTGAAAGATTTGATAATAGTTTTGAACGATCTAGGCTATTTAACCAGCAAACTAGGAGAGCTAAGTCGAGATCTGAAGTATTACACTGAGGCAGCGGTATTTTATCATTACATAATTGCAATACTGACGGAAAAATTCAACGAAAGTGTAATAAATGTAGAAGCTAAAAATGAATTTATTATTTCAAACTATATAAATCCAGAGAATCAATTAGTTCATTTACAGAACCTAATATTTTCAGTGATTGGTGGAGACCAAAATAATATTCCTATAGTGCACGAGGAAGCAAAAATAAATAAAAATTTACTACTAATATTGCGAAACGAAACCACTGAAGTGCTAAAAGAAGTAGAATCTTATCGAAAACAAATTAATGTTAACGATCAAAAAGAGAAACAAAAAAATCAAGAACTTTACGTAAATGCAGCAAAAAATTGGTTTGAAAAAATAGCTGATCGAATGAAAAAGTTTCTGGCTAAGTTATATGATGATAGTGTAAAACAAATAGCTATAAATGCACCTTGCAAATTTGCAGTAATAGGGCTTGGTTCAATGGCACTAAAACAAATGACCCCTTATTCAGATTTAGAGTTTGCTATTTTGACTCAGAATAGCAATTATAAAAAAAGCGATGATCCCAAAATTAAAAGCTATTTTAAGAACTTAAGCCATTTAGTGAACTTCAAAATAATCAATTTAGGAGAAAGTATTATTCCAACTAGTAAATATCTCTTAGATATGAGTCATTTAGTACCCGTAGCAGTTAATTTTGATTTAGGAGGTAAAACGCCTCTTGGAAGAATTGAAAAGGATAAAAAATATGAACTAATACAAACAATGCACGGGATGCTGAGTTTTGTATATAATGAAAATAACTGGGCGAGTCATATTGATAAGAACTTGCCATATATATTACAAAATGTGTGTTATGTGTATGGAGATGATGAACTTGTAAAAGATTATAAAAATAAAGTTACAAACTTTTTGCTAAGTACTAGTTATGAAGAAAACCAAAAGCTCAGATTAAACTGCGAAATAAGAGCCTTTAAAATACTACAAGAAGGAATAGTAGAAATTAATTATCTTCATTCAACGTCGACTCTGCAACGGAAAGAAACTTTTTTTAAAGGCGATATACATAAATTAGAGCCCGAATTATTTTATACTGAAGGTCGCTTTTTCCAAGTTAAGCAAGAAATTTACCGATTACCTGATCGTATGGTATACAACCTTGCTTTGTATTTTGGTATTGAAGGAGAAAGTGCTTGGGATTTAGTAGATAAATTGGAAAACAAAGGAATAATAAATTCACAGGCAGCACTTAATCTTAAAAATGCTATAACATTTGCCACTATAATTAGACTAAAAACCTATTCTCACCATAAAGCACAGAAAGAAGATATGTCAATATTTGTAAGACCAGTTGCAACTGAGTATGAGATAAAAAAACGAGCTACACAAGTATTCTATTTATCTGAAGCAGACTTACAAGAACAAGGAGGATTATTTCAGTATTTCTATACGGCATTACCTTTACATGATAGATTAAAATGTTTCTGTGACCAATATCAATCTTTAGATACAAGCATACAAATATTTTTTAAGGACAGTAAGTTTTATAATGATGATTATGCTACTAAAGGTTTTATTCATTATAGATTAGCGCAATATAAGGAGGCTCAAAGCAATTTAGAAAAAGCCTTGGAGGATGAAACTAATAAAGACAACTTAAAGATAAAAAATTATTTGGGAAACATATCTTTAAAAATTGGCGAAAACGATAAGGCTACTCAGTATTACATAGATTGTTTAAACGTTACAAAAAAAATTTACACAGATGAACGTCACCCAAGTGTTGCTGATTGTCTAAATAACCTTGGAACAGCTCATAATGCTAAAGGACAGTATAATGACGCAGTTGAATGCAACAAAAAAAGTTTAAAGATATACAAATTTATCTATCAAAATGAGCCTCACTCAAGTATTGCTAATTCCTTAAATAATCTTGGAGAAGTTTTTAGACACCAAGGTCAATATGAAAAAGCAATAAAAAAGTTTAAAAAAAGCATAGGTATAAAAAAACTTTTTTACCAACGTGAACCTCATTCAGATATTGCTTCTACTTACAATAATCTAGGATTAGTTTATAGCGTTAACGGACAATATGATCTTGCTATTAAGTGCTACGAGAAGAGTAAAAAGATTTACCAGTTAGTATACAAGAATGAACCTCACCCTTATGTTGCTGATGTTTTGAATAATCTAGGCATAATTTATAAGAGTAATTTACAATATGATCAAGCAATTTTCTTTTACGGAGAAAGCCTAAATATTTACAAAATATTTTATCAAAATGACCTGAACCCAAGTGTTGCTGACTCTTATAATAACTTAGGGTTAGTTTACATGGCCAAAGATGAAAATGATACAGCGCTTAAATACTGCAATCTTAGTTTTGAGATTTACAATCATATCTATCAAAATAAACCACACCCAGATATTGCATGGTCTTTAAATAATCTTGGATTAGTTTATTGTGCTAAAAAGCAATATGATAAAGCAATTAACTACTATAAGGCAAGCATGAAAATGAAAAAACATGTCTACCAAGATAGAAATCACCCAAGTATTGCTAATTCTTTAAATAATCTAGGATTAGTGTATGCAGACAAAGGCCAATATAGTAAAGCTATAGAGTACCATAAAAAGAGCCTAAATATGAGAAAACTCATCTTCCAAGTTGAATCTCACCCAGATATTTCTGTTTCGTTGAATAACATTGGATTAGTTTATACTGATAAGGGGAAATATGATTCTGCAATTAACTACTTTAAGGAAAGTCTTAAGATGAAAACGTTTATTTACCAAAATCGACCTCACCTTAGTATTGTCCAATCTTTGAATGGTCTAGGATTAGCCTACTCTAAAATAGGACAGTATATTACTGCAGCTAAACACTTAAAGGAAAGTCTAAAGATACAAAAATGCATGTTACAAAATCAACCTTGTGTTGCTGAATCATTAAACAACCTTGGGAATGTCTATAGACTTCAAGGAAAATATAATCAGGCAATTAAAAAGTATGAAGAAAGTTTAGAGATGCTTAGAATCATTTACAAAGAGGCAGATCACCCTATTATTGCTTGTTCTTTAAATAATTTAGGATTAGTTTATGCTGATAAAAAGGAATACAACCTAGCAATTGATTATTATAAAAAGAGCATAAAGATGGAAAAAAGAATTAAAAGTATGCGATCTGACTTGAATATTTCGGGTTCTTTATATAATATAGGGTTAACATACCTTGATAAAGAACAATATGATCGGGCAAATAACTATCACGAGAAAAGCTTAAAGATGAAAAAACTAATTTATAAAGGTGAATCTCACAAAGATGTTGCTAGTTTTTTAAATAATCTAGGGAAAGTTTATCGAAAAAGAGGACAATATAACCTAGCAATTAGCTACTATAAGGAGTGTCTAAAAATAAACAAAGAAATATACAAAAATAAACAGCACTCTAATATTGCTAATTCTTTAAAAAAGTTATGGAAGTTATGTATACTTTTAGAACGGTTTGATGAGGCAATTTTCTACATAGAGGAGAGCTTACAAGTTCAAAAACTTTTATATCAAGATGATCTTCATTCTTGCATTGCTGATCTTTTATATAACTTAGGAGATGTTTATCAAAAAAAAGGAAAATTTGATCAAGCAATTAAGTACTACAATCAGAGCCTTATAATAAACAAACAACTCTACCAAGATGAGCCTCAAGAAATTGTTGCTAATATTTTTAATAATTTAGGAGCGGCTTATTATGCTAATGAACAACATGAGCGAGCAATTGACTGCTATGATCAGAGTTTAAAGATAATAAAACAAATTTACAAAGATCAAGCCCTTGGTGTTGCTTTTTCCTTAAATAATCTAGGCGTTTCTTATAAAGCTAAAGGAGAATATGATCAAGCAATTAAAAACTACAAGCAAAGCCTAAATATCTATAAATTCATTTACCAAAATGAAACTCATATTACTTTTGCTGATACTTTACATAATCTTGGATTAGTTTACGCTGATCAAAAAGAACATAAATTGGCGATTAACTATTATGAGGAAAGCCTAAAAATGAAAAATATTATTTACCAAGGTCAACCTCACCCTCGTATTTCTTATACTTTAAATGATCTAGGCTTAGCTTACTCTGATAAAATTCAATATGATCAAGCGATTAAATATCATAGTCAAGCTTTGCAAATGATATCAGATTTTCAAAACCATCCTTACACGGAGCTTTTTACAAATAATTTAAAAAACAATGCTTATTTATTTGCCCAAAAATATTATCTTTCACAACAAGAGGTTGTAAATAAAGTTTTGTCTTTTACATCAAACAAATTAAATTTTGTAGATTTTAAATTGCATTTTCAATTTGCGTCATCACATGATAATAATAACAAAAGTGAAGAGCATTTTTTAAAAATAATTGAAGATTATAAATTAGCACTGATATTTCTTCCTAAAAACGAGTTATCAACTAAATTTGAAATATGCAATAAACTTGCTGAATTAACAACGGATCATTATAAAAATATTGAATTATGGTTGGCTGTAGTTGAAGATAATGTTGATGAAATAAATAAATTAGCTGCAGACGGGACAAATTTTGATCAAGCACCATTTTTACCTTCTACCCCAATAGTAACAGCAGTATTCAAAGGAAATACTAATATGGTATCAGCATTAATTTTAGGAAAGGTTGATATTAATAAACCTAATAATAATCAACACCAAGCAAGTCCATTAATATGTTCTTTAGGATATTATGGACAACCAATAAATATGGAAATAGTTGAATTGTTATTGGCAAATGGAGCTGATGTTAACAAACCAATGTTCGATGGTGATACACCAATGCATTTAGCTCATTGCGAAGGTAGCAAAGAAGCTATAAATTTGCTCCTGAAACACGGAGCTAAAATTAATGCACAAAATGCCGAAGGTAAGACACCGTTACATTGTTTGCTAGAAACAAAGTCCCTTAGTACGGTGACGAAGTTAGAAGTTATAGCAGAATTCGGCAAACTCTTCGATACCACAATTAGAAAAAACGATGGAAAAACTGTAATTGAATATGCTAATGAGTACTGCCCTGAACTTACCGTTGATAATTCCCGTTTATTGCAGTTGCTTAAAATTGCTGAAGTTGTTGATCATGTTGATTAAGTTATGACTTACATCAGCATTAACGTATTAAAACAAGAAAAATGTTTACTTGAAGGTGATTTTTTTGAAACAAATAAAAACTCATCAAGTGTTTAAGTAATGATTTATTTTGAAACCTTTAATTTTGATTTATAAAATGATTTTTATGAAAAAAAAGGATTATTTTATCATAAAAATTATAAAACATTATCATTTTAGTAAAAATCAAAAAAATTTTTATATGAACCAGCAATAAAACTAGTAGAAAGTATAAATCTAAGGTGCAAGAACTTTTACGTTATCAATAAAAACAACTTATTATAATTGTGATTTAATTATTTTACAATAAATGAAAATTAAATATACACAGTGGAGAAGGAGAAAAAGCGTAAGTAGAATGGAGGAGAGGTGGGTCGTAGATAGGAGAAGTGGAACAAAGAGGGAGGATGTGGAAAAAGAAGAATAAATGGGAGGCAACGAAGACTTTCGGATTGCACATACAGTTTTTAAAAAAAAAAGGAGCAAAAAATATTTTTTTCCAAACATCATTTCCATTTTACTTTATTTTTAATCCAACTATTTAAAAATCATTTCATCAACTTATATATATTAAATTTACAATTTTCAGATTGCATAAAATTGTTTATGATGATCTGTTTGCCACATTTTAAGTCTTTTAAAACAATTTGAATTTTAGAAGTTAAGATACATAAGAGTAGGATAAAAAGCAAAAATAAAAAGTGGCAAATAATACGTATGAAAGATGTTCCATGATCAGTAACAGAGAAATAGCAACATGATTAAAACTGCAGAAAATTGCGTCAAAATTATTTTGAAAGCATGTGAAAGTTAGGTCTTATATAAAAGACATAACTTTTACAAGTTTTCAGAATGTTTTTGAAATTTTTTTGAAATATATTAAAAAATGTTTTTGCTGTTTTATGCAATTGTTAGAAAATCCATTCTGAAAGTTTCAGAGATTAGCTCTTAACATTAAGGTAGTGAGAATTTGAGAGAATAACACTTTCTTTGAAAATGTTTCCACATTTTTAAAGACCATCTTATTCTCTCAAATTCTCAAGTAGTTTTCAAGCAAGTAATTTTCAGCAAAGAAAGTAACTTTGAAGTAATAAATAGAAAAAGCAAAACTCTTGTTTTTGCTTTATTGTACGGAGGTGGTAGGAGTGTTGGTATTTTGGGCTGCTTTAGTTTTAACATAGTTTGTGTAAAAGTTCTCAATAATTGCTGTTTTATAAGAAGCCTACGAAACTTTAGCCTACTCAATTCTGAATATATATTTATAGCAGAACCAATAAAGAAATATTTAAAGAAATATGCTGAGCTAGTATAACTTCATATTTATTGTGACTAATTCTTCCTTTCATACCTAAATTAGCTGTCCAGTGTCAGATTATATTTTATTACAACTCAAGAAAATTGTCAGTTATACTAACTGAGCCTTTACCAATGACTATTCCGCTCTATGAAATGGCTATTCCGCTACACTGAATAGGTAACTGTAGGAGGGGTGACATAGGTAAAAAGTAAAGCCTTCTGTTTGTCGGCGTGCGGTTCTCAAATATTGACCGAAGGCCTTCGGTTGCGGGTATGCGGGTCATTTTTCAATTTTAGAAGGCCTACAACAGAAGGACTCGCATCATGTATGTGTAGGGTGTTAGAATGGTAAATCTGCAGTTAAGCGGCGTAAAAAAATTATATTATTTTGCTTTTTGCGCTCTCGTTCGCGGAGACTAAAAAACAAAAGAAATTCAAAACGAGTTTTAATTGCTTTGAAAGGTTTAAAATAAGAAAGGTTTAAAAAAAATTATATTTTTATTTTCAAATATATTTCTATATAATAATAATAATTATAATATATATATGTATATATATATATATATCTATATATATATATATATATATATATATATATATATATATATATATATATATATATATATATATATATATATATATATATATATATATATATATATATATATATATATATACATATATATATATATTATTATATATAAAATAATGTATATTGTATTAATATATTATATAAAAATAATATATTATATATAAATAATAAATATTAAATATTAAAAATAATAAACATTAAATAATAAATTTGGTTAGCGCTTTGACGCTATACTGATTTAGGGGTAGGCGAGGGCTTCAATACAACACGTCGACTGACTTAGGGAAAACTCGCAAGGGAGTTGGTAACACATCGAAGGGTCAGAGTTAGGGCAGGAATCAATTTATTTTCATCATTCTTCCTTTTCCCTCTTTTTTTTCATTAAAAACTAATATCGGTACTGCCCTGCACCTAAACACTCTATCGTAATTTTTGTTTAAGCCATGTTTTTAAAAATGTGTGGCTATGAAAATAGCCGTTTTATAAATGTATCAGTTATAGAGGATACTGACGGGAAACGCAAGTAAGAAATGCTGAGAATATTGGAAATTCTTTAAATCTTTGTCGCCAAATAAATTCATGAAGATGTGATGTAAATAAATCTTTATAAGTTCCAAACTGTTGCCGCAGTTTACACTTAGCGCGCATCCATAAATTCTCGATGTTTTGAGTGTGGATTTCGTTATCTAACGGATCAACAAAGTGACGTTCATGGATAACAACAGCATGGAAATAAATTCCATCATTCAGCCTTTCAATCCCAGCATAAGATGCCCATCCGTCTGAAACGATATAACTTCCCGGCAAAATAAATTCCAATATTGCGTTTTGGAGACTCTCAGCAGTTCTATCTGGCACTTCGACTAAAAAACACTTCCGCGAAACCCTTTCAATACCACCAAACACCCAACGACCTGGTCGCCATTGCCCGCGATGGTATTTGCGATGAAAAAACTTTGATTCGTCAATTTCAATTACAATCGGTGTCCCGTCAGCGTTGATACCACCAATAACTGAAGGATTTGTTTCTAGTTCAACTTCGCAAACATCGCGACAAAAGTTGGCTCAATCAGCAAAAGTATGACTAGCGTCATTCATACCGGCTTCGTGTTGTATTTCTTTTTGAGGCATATTTCGACTCCAGACATAAATATAGTAAATTAACTTTTGTAGTGGTAGCCTACTTTTGCTAAAAAAAGATCCTTCTCTAACACTTTGCCTCTGTTTACACCCCTTGCAGTACCAACGGAAAGCATCCGCGGCATCTTTATATGCGTTTAAACTAAACGGCTGTTGACAATTGTTGCACTCCACATTATTTTTTATTATTCTACGCTTTGCCAGCCACTTTAAAGCGTCTAGTGGTTCTCTTATGTTGTGGCTAAGCTCCGTTAAACGACAATTTTCATTTAACACAACTTGTTCAGGAATAATTTCATCAACTCCAACAATAGCCGTTGGGGCACTTGGACGTCCACGACCAACTGGTTGCATAGCCGTCTAATAAAATATGTAAACATTTAAATATGCTAAGCAAGTAATACCATCATTAAAGTTAAAGTTATATCAATACTAAAGTTTAATAAAATTGAAGTTTACCTGGAAAATATTAATACAAAACTTTGGAATATAGAATCCAAACTTTAACGCACTTAAACTTTAAAAATTTAAAAACTTTGAAAACGCTAACTAAACTCCTAGATAAAATTTAAAACTCGCTTTTAAAATTTAATAATTGATTTAAAATTTATTTTTTAATAATTATGATATCTTACGTAACGCAACTTTAGATAATACGCTCACCACCGTTGATTTTTTTAAGTAAAAAATATATAATTATTTTACGCCGCTTAACTGCAGATTTACCACAATATACAATGCTTGCTATGTAACGTCGGAATCAAAGTCAAAAAGGGAAGATCTTTTACTACCCATGAGTACGATCAATATTGTAAATCCATTTCACACGAGGTATCTGTTCGTAAAGAAAATGAAGCTGGGCTTTTTCAAACTAATATACATCAGTTTTTTCCTATTGTTTTTCCAACTGTTTCGAAATTAGAAGTTGTGGCTAATTCTGGAATTGATTTTAGTATTATTCCTGAAGCTAAAATAAAATTAACTAAACCATGCGATGGTGTATTTAATAAGAGAAGAGAACTTGTAGTCCTTTTTAACTCCTATGGCATTATGGATAATATGATAAATAATAACGCAAAATTTGTTAAAATAGATGATAAAATTTATCTTCATAGCATTCAATGTACTGGAAATCACATCAAAAAATGTGATCATTGTATTAATTTATGTAGAAATAGATCATTCACTAGTCGATTGGAAGCAATGGGTGTTGTAAGAGATGTTTTAGAAATTATCGAATCATCTGAAACTCGTGAAGCAGACTTAGAAGCACTTAAAAAATTTGTAAAGAGCTGTAAACTTAATCATGCATGGTATAATGAAAAAAGAAAACTGTTAGCTGCAAAGGTCAGTTTAAAAATTGAAGGTATTACTTCATTATTAAATCTGAAAAAAAACTTTTGGCGATTGGAATTACTGTTTCAGAAACAAATCAAATTTCAGAATATGGTTCCTTTTTCCAATCATTTCATAAACTTTACAAAGAATATCCTAAACAAAATGAAACTCTACTACATGCAATGCAGTCTTGTCTAATTTCAAAAGCAAGTGGTATGACGAATGAAAAATTTCAAATTGTGATGTTAGATTTTTTTTTTTTAATGCTTCAAACATTTGGTAAATGTGTTTATAGATTTGTTACTGCAAATCTCCCTAGTGTTTCCTTGAGACATATACAACGCGTCACTGCAAAAACATCAAATAGTTTTATTCTTGATGTTTCTTTAGATGGCCTTAACAAAAGATTAGATAAAATTTATGAAATAATGCCTGGTACCAATAAACTAATTGTGTCTGTATCTATGGATGCTACCAAAGTAATTCCAGCCTTTTTAACTTGTGTAAAGTTTAATTGTATTGTGGGAAAGGTTGCGCTAAATCATATACTAAAAATAAATGATGAAACACTTAATGGTATTGACAGTGCAATAGATCTAGCAACAGAAGTTAAAGCAGTTGTTATAATGATTCACAACTGTCCTGAAGGAACAACACCAATTAAACTTCTATGTATTCATCCCCAAAGTACAAATGAAAGTAATTATACATTCAATAATCACATTTATGATGTTTTAACAAGACCCAAATTTCGAAGTTGTTTCATTTTACACAGATGGTGTATCATACGAAAGTAAATGGATAACAAAGATTTTATTATCATTTCTTGATTAAAAAACAAATGAAGTTGCTTTTATAGACGATAATCATGTTGCAAAAGCTATAAGAAATCAAATTTTGTCTGGGACCGAGTTAAAAACAATTGGATTGTATCTGATTCAACGTGGAATATTTGCACACGCAAGTTTAAATATATCTAGAGATTTATATGAAGTTAAAGACTTTGCATCTGATGCCTTGGTGTTAGGAATTTGTGACCCTAAATTAATAAAAAGATAATAGAAGCAGATTTTAACAGTCATGCAATTTCAAAGCAATCACAGTACATACTTTCTTTAACGTTAGTATTTCTTAGACTTTTTCTTATTTCATCAAATGCTGACGATATTGATTTTTAATTAAGAATTGCTTTTAAGTGGTGCTCAATGATTTGGTTTTTATCAATTGAAGGTATTCACTTTATAACTTTAAAGAACATTATTGCAAATGCAATAGGGTCTATCTTTTTGTACCCACAGGAGCGAATTAAATGCCCTAGATATTGTACTGAAGAGCCTTGTGAGCATTATTTTGGTTGTACTAGACAATTTGAAAGAGAATTCACAATTCGTGGTTTTATTCAGTATGATGATAGAATAAATCAATTTTTTTCATCTGCTTTTAGATCTGCATTAAACACTGGAGGGAATTCGTCAAAAGCTTATGCCAGTACTTTAACTGGCTTTGTTGCATCTGTAACTGCAATTCTAGAAAAACAAAAAACAAAGAAAAAAGAAGTTATCCCTACATTGAATTTATCACCTAATCAAGAAAAGGTTTTATTTGACCAATTTTGTCATCAATCATTTGCTAGTAAACTATCCAAAATAGTTTTTCCAATAATCAATGAGTTTTCAAATCAAATGAGTGTTTTGCTTAATACATGTGGAATTAAAAAAAACTTTGACTAAAAAATTTAGTTCTTATTCAGATTTAAAGAGCTTCTATACTTCCTTTATAGAAAATAAAAGTAGTCTGATAAAAGTAAACGTTAATCCCAACTTGGATAAGGCTTTAAATGCTGATAATGGCTATGACACTGATGTTCAAGAAAAATTGATAGAAATAATTAATAATAGTTTACAAGTAGCAATTTTAGAAATTGAAGTAATTCATAATGAACCAGAGATAAACAATGTCGATGAGGTGTTGGTTGAGATTAACCAAAGCATCATTTCTTTTCAGAAAATGTTCACTCAAATATCCCTTAAAGACATTTGTGAAGAAGGGTTGGCTTCTATTTCTGAGCAAGCTCATGTATCGTTTAATAATCACCAAAAATCTAAATCATTATTACAACGTTGGTATCAGGGTTGGCAAAAACCCGGGTTTTTGACCAAAAACCCAACCCAGCTGGGTTTTTGGGTGGGTTTTTGATGGGTTTTTGCTCAAGTTTGGTATAAATCTTTAGTAATCAAAGTTTGATTAATTTATAGTTTATAATATAAAGCTATTTTTCATTTTTTACAGGTATATTTTCTTATACAAAAGCTTTACTAATAATCAGATTGCATTTTTTTATAATATAAATCTATTTTTAAATAGAGTTATCTTTTTAGTTAAATTTAAAATATAAGTAGATTATACGTCTTCAACATGCCAAAGTATCATTCAGGGGGAAGAAATAAGGCTAGTGAGTGGAATGAAGTGACCATATTAAGTGATCAACCAAATAGAGTAATATGTAATTATTGCAAAGTGAGCATAATTAAAAAAATAGAAAGAGTTAAAATCCATTTGGATAAATGCAGAAGAAAGAATAAACGAAGCAATAATAATTCCGCTGAAGTGTTAAGTGATATATCAGTTTTAGAGTCAAGGCCATCTACATCTGCAGCATCAAATAAGTCTAGCCTGTCTGATGATAATGAGCAAGATGGTTTAAGCTTTATTAGTGATTCTTTTTGTTCGTCAATTGTTCAGTCAACTGCAATGACGATGCAACAGCAAACATCTATTTCTAAATTTGTTACTACAACAACAAGTAATCAGAAGGATGAACTGGATTTACAAGTTGCAAGATTTTTCTTTTCAGCAAATATACCATTCAACGTAGTAGAAAATCTTGAATTTACCAAGCTGCTTAAAAAACTTAGACCTGGATATGAGCCACCAAATAGAAAACAGATATCTTCAGAACTCTTAGTAAAGATAAATGAAGGTGTAATCAATTTAATGAAAAATGATCTTGCTGATGATAGTGCTGTTACCCTAATTCAAGATGGTTGGAGTACATTCAGTAATGATCCTATAATTGCTCATAGCATCCATAGTAAAAATAAACCTTATCTCATTTCTGCAATTGACACTGGAAGCCAATCAAAAACAGCAGAATATTGCGCTCAAGCTGCTAAGGATGCAATTAAAATTGCTAAAGAAACGTTCAATAAAGATGTAAGTGTTAGATGTTTAATTGCTTTATTTAATATATATATATATATATATATATATATATATATATATATATATATATATATATATATATATATATATATATATACATACTATATACATATACATTTATATATATATATATATATATATATATATATATATATATATATATATATATATATATATATAAGGCCTCATATATATACATATATATATATATATATATATATATATATATATATATATATATATATATATATATATATATATATATATATATATAAGGCCTCATATAAATACATATATACATATATATATATATATATATATATATATATATATATATATATATATATATATATATATATATATATATATATATATATATATATAAGGCCTCAACGGAAGAATGATTTTAATAAAATGATTTTTTTAATAAAATGATTTTTGGGGTGATTTTAATTCGTTGAACTACATGATGGTGTTTTAAATCTTAAAAATTGATTTTCTCAAAACATTAAAAGTGTGACTCTGATCGTTCTTCCGTTGAGGCCTTCATATATATACACATATAAGTTTCATTTTTTATTTAGGTATTTGCAGTATGCACTGACAACGAAAATAAAATGTCTAAAATGAGAAAACATTTGCAAGCTGAAGCCCCTAAGTTGATAACATTTGGTTGCTCTGCTCATTTTTTAAATTTGGTTGAAAAGGATGTCTCTCCAAAGTCTATAGTAAAGCATATTATAGCAATTCATAAATATTTTCGTAATCATCACCAACCACATGTATGTATTAAATTCTTTACTTATTGATCATATTCTGTAATACAATACTATGAAATAACACAGCTGTGTTAATGATATAAGCCTAATGATAATGATGGCAAAAGAGATCCTAGCTTTGTTTTAACAAAATTATTTTTTAATATTTCTTTGTTAAATTTTCTTAAATATTTGTTATAGGGTTGGTTATTGGAAAAAGGTGGACTGATGCCACAGCTACCTAATGATACTCGCTGGAACTCCCAACTAGATTGTTTACAGACATACATATCTAATCATTCTCTGTACGTTGACATTAGAGGTGAGCATATGGAATCCATTGATCCTTCGATAGGAAGCCTAATTGACAATCTATCAATACAGAGAGAAGCAATAAATTTATATGCACAACTGAAAATTGTTGGTGTTGCATTAGATAAGGTTAATAAAATTAGTTATTAATTAAATTTATTAAATTTAATTATATTAAGTATATTAAAACCACTTTAATTAGGAACAATGTCACCATTAACTTTATTTACCTAATTATTAGCAAAATTATTGTGTTTACTGTAGTTGCAAGCAGACGATACAACTTTGTCTGAAGCAGTTGAGATTTGGCAAAGCCTCATACATAATGAAAAATTGGCTTTGTACAAAGATGATATTTTAAAGAGGTTCAAGAAGGCAATTGTTCCATGTCATTTTCTTGCCAATTTAACAGATCCAAAATATGAAGGTAACTAAACAATTGTAAAAAACTTAAAGTATTGCATCTGATTAATTTTTAATAAAAACAAATGTAAAGTTTTTATTTAAGTTTACTACTCTTATAACTTTACTTATTTACTTAGGAAGAACATTGGATAGAAGTCAAGAAAAAGAAGCTGAGGAATGGTTGAATGAAGTCTATCCTGAATTTATGCCAGGCTATTATGCGTTTAAACTAAAAGATGCTAATTGTTTCCCAACATATTTATTCAACGATAGTGTTAAAAGCACAACATCAGCAACAAATTGGTGGAGAATTATAGAAAGAATCTAAGTCTTCCAAATTGCCTGCAAATTTTGCAAAATTTTTACGGCAGTTGCACACTTGTCCAGCTAGTACTGGATCCATAGAAAGATTTTTCTCATCTTTTGGGATTATTTAAAGCAAAATTAGAAATCGTTTAGGAAGAGAAAAAGCTGAAATGCTTGTACGAATTTACAGAAATTTAAGATCAAGATGCACAATTGCTGATGACTTTTAGATTACTTTGTTTTAAATGATTAAGCTTGAATATTATTGCTCCAAGTAAAATAAAATTCTTGTTTATGACTTACTAAACTTCATTTTTTGTTGTTAGTTGAGCAGCATCAAATCTTGTGTGTTAATGGAAATTGATTTATGAACAAAAAAATTAAAAATTAAAAATTTAAGACTAAAAACCCATAAAGTTGGGTTTTTGGTGGGTTTTTGGTCTTGGGTTTTTGGGTGGGTTTTTGGGTTTGGGTTTTTGGGTACCAACCCTGGTTGGTATAGACCGAATTTAAAAAATAACTCTAGCATGGAAAAATTTAATGTAAAAATAGGGAGTCTTTTTCAAGCAGAACTGAAAACATGGTTTGTCATGAGTATTTTTCGAAAAGCATACAACAAATGGAGACCAACAGAAAATGAAGTTCCTGTTGATAAAAAAGGCTTAGTTATAATAAATTTTACTTTAGCAGAATATGGAGTCTTAACCGGTAGCTATATGCTACCATATCAAAATGTCGAAAACGAAGAGATAAAGGACAATCAAAAAAAGTATTTTATGAAAATTGATTGCTATGAAATAACTGAATGGCTTGCTGCTGATTAAACTTTTATTAGAATTAACTTTTGAAGTTTCCTTTTGGTTTATTTTAAAACTGTTTTTGGTACTCCATTTATAATTTTGCATTGTTTTGTGAATATATTTATTTCATAACTATGTATCAAAGAAAAATTGTTTTTTTTTTAGAATGTTAAGTTCCCCACGCAGTTCCCCACTGTACTGATTTATATATATATATATATATATATATATATATATATATATATATATATATATATATATATATATATATATATATATATATATATATATATATATATATATATATATATATATATATACATTATATATATTATATATATATATATATATATATAAATATATATGTATATATTTATATATATATTTATATATATATATAAATATAGATCAATATATATATATATATATATATATATATATATATATATATATATAATATAGATCAATATATATATATATATATATATATATATATATATATATATATATATATATATATTATATACAATATATACAATATATATATATATATATATAAAATATATATATATTTTATATACAATATATACAATATATATATATATATATATATATATATATATATATATATATATATATATATATATATATATATATATATATATATATATATATATATATATTGTTTTTTGGAACACCCTATATATATATATATATATATATATATATATATATATATATATATATATATATATATATATATATATATATATATATATATATATATATATATATTATGGATGTATATTATGGATGGCCCCTTATATATGTTCTATATAAGGGGCCATCCATAAAGTACGTACGCAGGGATGGGGAGGGGGTTTGCCAAAAGCGTACAAGCGCAAACAAGGGGAGGGGTATTAAAGACAGTGAGGACATACGCGGTTTGACTATCTCTCCTAAACATGATTTTTTTTTTTTTAAAACATTGAACTTCACGTGTGTAACAAATCAGAATAGTGTTTTTTTTTTCTGACCAGTTTTTTTTTCTAGCTTCAGAAAAAAAAAACGAGTTAATTTTGAAAAAAAATAATGCGTACGTACGCGGAGGGGGGGGGGGTCTTTGAAAGCGTACAGGTTTGTAAAAGGGGGAGAGGGTCTTAAATCAGTGATTTTACTGAGTACGTACTTTATGGATGCCCCCTAATATAAAAACACTAGATTTAACATTTTTTGCCGAACCTTGCTTTGAAAAATGGCCCTCTACTCAAAATAGGTTGCAAACCATTAGTTTGACATAATGTTGCGCCTAACCTATCGTTGCGTCTCTTACACAAGTTTGAAGTTTTAAAGGCTATAACTGAATATTTAGTATTCTTCTAACAATATCTTCTAGAACAAAAGCTTTCCAAAATAAAAACACTAAAAAACCTACAATCTTATAGCTTTAAACTTATTGTTAACAATATAATATAAATGTTAACACTATAAAAAGCTTTTAATTTTTTTTAACTTTAAAAAACTTTATAACTTTAACCTGACTGTTAACAATATCAACTTAAATGTATACGGGCAAATCCGATTTTTATTATAGCATGTTAACAAAAAGGTTATTAAGAATAAAACCTTTTTTAAAACTTTTTTTATTTTTTTTTCCTGTATAAAATTATTTAAAATCTAACATATATTTTTCAGTATTCTTAGCTTCTTATTAAATGTTCTTAGCTTTTTATTAAATCCAGCTTCTTATTAAATGTTTCACTATATTTTGTTCAATAAATATGCGGAGAACTACCGTACGCCTTAATTTTTTCATTGCGCCTCTAGACCTTCTTTGCGGTCGTGCGGGTATTTAAAAAAACTCTGAAGGTCTTCCGTTTTCGCTACGCGGTCGTGCGGGTCTAAATGTAAGCTCAGAAGGCCTTCAGATACCCTTACGCATATAGATGTCACCCCTCCTGTAACAGTAAAGACGCTAAATAATCTATAAGATAGTTTACAATTTTGTTTTTATTTTCATTTAGGACTTTTCAAACTTGAAAAACATTTATCAATCTGTACCTAAAGTTAATAAAATAAAATAAATTGCATATGTCTCATTGTTGCAAGAGTAAATGAATAACGTTATTGAGGCGATACATATATTAAACATAACGCTTGCCTTTTACTGTTTGGTTTTGTCAAGCAATTTATAAAAAGTAATGCTTTTCCTTTAACTCATCCTTTATTGTGGATGAAGATTTATTTTTGCACACAATGTTACTTGTTGATCCGAGCTTAACTATTCTTTACAGCGCTTCTTGAAGGCTGCTTCATTTTGTTGCCCGTAACATTTTGGTAAAGAAAGTGTTTTTAGTATAGTGGATTTAGCGGTGACGCGGATGCAAATCGGCCTAATTCGTGGAGCGTTAGTTTTTTTTCATTTTCATTCAAAGGATGTGGGACTTAAACTACAAGATTTTGATGCAGGATTGGCACCTCGACTAAATGCATAAAAAAGGAGGTGCAGAAAATGCCTATTTCGGTCTTATTGTAATGATTTGAAAAATAAAAAAAATTAGGCAAAACAAAAAAATCAAATGTGCCATCTTGTAGAGGTAAAGATTCTTTTTTGAATAACGCAAATTATTATTTTTTTTTTTTATTATTATTTTTTTTGTTATAAATATTATAACATGTTATAAATATTGTTTTTACAACGCACGTTTAAATACATATACAATAGAAGAGAATTCATAAATAAATATTGATAGTTACGTAATAATTAAGTTACATAATAAATAAAGTTAAAGTAGAGAAAGGCTAAAAAAAGTAGGGGTGCACCAATGCATCGACCTCGGCACCGGTCTTGGTAACCATCGGCCAATGCCAATTGTTTAAAAAAGTCAAATTTTTTAATTTTGTGTTTCTATATTGTATAATAAAATATGATAATTATATTTTTTTATACAATATAGAAACACAAAATTAAAAAGACTCATTTTTCAAAACAATTGGCATCGGCCTGGATAATCATTGGCCGATGCCGATTGTTTTGAAAAATGAGTCTTTTTAATTTTGTGTTTCTATATTGTATAAAAAAATATAATTATTATATTTTTTTTTATACAATATAGAAACAAAAAAATTTTAAAACCTGATTTTTTGAAACTATCGGTTATCATGGCCGATGCATCGGTGCAAAAAAAAAAAAAAGATACGGAAAACATTACATTATCACAATCTTTTTATAGAGCCTCTTTATAAAGACATAAATACTATATTAATTTTGTATTAAAAAAGTCAAAACAATCAAATAAAAAATAAACAAAAACGAAAACAAAAAATATAGTCAAACGAAGAAAAATTAACCGTTAAGTTTTTCTTATAATCACATTTTAAAAATTTATTTTTTTGTTTGAAACTTAAGGAATTCACCATTAATTTATATTCCTTTTGACACGAAACGAACTTAAGGAAATCACCATTAGTTTATATTCCTTTTGACAGTCATTCCATAATTTGGATCCTCGATAAGGTATACAATATTCTGAGAACTTATAACATTTCCGAGGTAATTTATAATCGTTGTTTACATTTGATCTTATATTATAATTTTCATTTAGATTTTCTTCAAAATTGTTGTTAAAGTTTTCTGGTAAGAAGTTGTTGTAATATCTATACATATAAGTTAGATGCTCATTAGGTATTATGTTAAATATATCCATCATTTTCATATCTTTCATAAGTGGTTTTCATGTTCATGTTTGTGTTTAGAGTATATGATTCGGCAAGCGTGTTTTTGTAGCTTATGGCCAAGTACGCAACAAACAGAATTCCAAAACATTGTAAATGTTTTGGAATTCTGTTTGTTGCGTACTTGCCAAGATATATTTGCATACTTTATGAAACAGTGAATTAATCCATAATATATCAAATTAAGACTTAACATACTAAGGTATGGGCGAACTCGATACATAACGCCAATTGTTTTGGTAATTTTAGACTGGATATAGCTTATATGGGGAAGCCAGGATAAATTATATCTTCTTGAATTCCTTAGAATTTTATGCGTACTTGTTTTTTAATTGTTTTATTATTTAAGAAGAATTCGGACAGCTTAAATGTTTTTTTTATGAAATAGAATATAATTTGTTTTCTCAACATTAGTGAAAGTTTTTTTGCCCTAAACCAAATGTTTACTTTAGTTAACTCCGTATTCATATCAGTTTATAAGTATTTTATATCATTATTGGCGAGAAAGAGATTAGTATCGTCTGCAAAAATTGTTGAGTTCAGCTTTAATGACGCATTACAAATGTTGGTAATATAAATTAGGAAACACGAGTGGGCCAAGAATTGATCCCTGTGGTACTCGACATACAACGCTTAGTATTCCGGATTATACATTATAAACATATTGCTTTCTATCAGTAAGATAGCTCTTAATCCAGGAATAGGTTGAATTATTTATACCTTAATGCTTAACTTTTTCAAAGGGTACTAGGTGAAGGGTACTACCCTACAATTTTTATTTTTCAAAATATGGTACTTTTCTTAAAATGATAAACATTTTTCGATAGTTGTTAAAAAACTGAATATAAAAAATATCATTTTTTTACTTTTTGTCTCAAAAAAATGCTGAGTCAGCAAAAAAAAAGCAAAAAACATGCGGTCATAAGAACATGAATATCTTGAGTAATATTTGAGATAAAAGCTTTAAATTTTACAAACATATAGCTAAATGGTTGGTGGAGGGCGCCTAGTAGAATGTTTTAAAAATACAGAGCCAAAGTAAAATGGCACATATTAAGCTGTAAATATCATACAAAATGGTTCGTGGGGTATGTAAAATTTTAAATTCTGGTAAAAATAAAGAGTATTTTTTGTTTATTCTACTACCAGCCCTTTCTACAACTTCAATGAACAAACTGTGAAAATTTCAAAGAAAAAGAGTTAATAGTTTCTGAGATATCAATGTTCTAGTTTAAAAATATTTGAAAAATATTATTCTAAGAAAAACAGCTTTTAAAATAAAAAATGCCATTAACTAAAAAAATCTCTAATTAAAAAATATCCAAACTAGCCACGAGAATATGATTAACCACCTTTAATATTTTGTTCTGTGTCAAAATAACCTTTTCACAACACCAACAAAAAAAATTGTGAAAGTAGAGCAAACATATAAACAAACATGGTTGCTAAGGCCGTTGCTAGGGATTCGAAATTTACCTAGTTGCCTTTGAATACTAATTTAAGTACTTTGCTTTTAAAGGGAAAAAAAAATTATACTCGTGATCCAGGATGTTCAAACAGTTAAAATTAAAAAAATATATATTTTTTGTTTTTTTGATGTTTTTAATAGGGTAGTACCACAATGATCAACTGTGTCGAATGCTTTAGATAAGCCTATAGATACTCCTAAAGTTTGCTTTCGTAAAAACCTTCAGTTATTTGGTTGACTATCTTAATAATTGCATTCTCAGTTGAAAAATTTTTCTGAAATATAAATTATTCAATCAAAAATTATAAATAATTATTAAGCCAATACATTTTATTTTCAGCGCGAAACTTTAAGCACAACATAAAGGACAATTACTTATGTATTAATTCAGAAGAAATTTAATAGAGAAGAGATGTGTACATTTTTCTCTAATTTTACTCTAGGTGCCCCAAGATGTCCTTACCGTCTTATCACAGAGGAACGTGAATGAGCATTTATTTAGAAGTTCACGACTCCTTCCAAACCATGTCTTAAAAGTAAAAAACCCCAACTCTTGCACAGAAGTGGGGTTTGAACCACGGGTCCTTTGTTTGTGAAGCAAGTGCTCTACCACTGCGCCAGAGCTTCTCACAATTTGAAAATATTAATTATTTCCTGTTTTAAGTTTAGGTTAATATATTATAAAAATAAAAATGTCAAGAGCTGAAATGTGATTGCAGGACCAGAACATTTAGTTAGGTCGACTAATCATTCAATCAATCAATCAATTATATTTATTGACAGGCTCAAGGCCCAATATAATGAATATACAATAGGTAAAATAAAGTGAATATAAAAAATAACGCACTTGAATATAAACAAAACCCAGGGAAAAAAAATTAATAAAATGTTATAAATATAACTCAGCTCTCATATTAATTCATCTCTAATTTAATTCTCTATTTTAATTATTTTTATTCTCTAATTTAATTCTTTATTTAATTCATCTACAGCATCTCCAATTTTAATTCATCTAATTCAATAAATAAAACCATAGAATAATTATATAAAACCATATAAAACCATAAAATAATTGTTTCTCTTGGGGCTAGATCGCTCTAGTAGACTGTATATTCTGTTAGGAAATGATTGGAAATCTTCAAGTATAATTAATAAACCATCACCCTTATAACTATAAAGTTTAATTGACTCGTGTATGTTTCGAATTATGTTTGGTTGTTTCGTGACGAGACGGATATACAGCAATTTTATTGCAAATATATTTTGGCAGATCAGTTTTACAACTGGCATTTAAATGCCAGTCCGTCAAACTGTTCTGCTCTGCCGATTATACCAACCCAATAAAAAAAAGAACACTTGATAACGCTGTTAGTAATGTCTAACCACGTGTTTATATCTTAGCTTTATGAAACAGTTCGCTATAATAAAATATATATTTTAACTAACAGTTATCTAAAAACTTGAAGCTTTTTAATAAACTATAATTTAAATTCACAACAATTTACTATACAGTTATATATTTTTCAGTATAGTATACCAGATTAATTCAACCGTTTTTGGGTTAAAAGATATTAAAATGAGTTATTAAACTACTTAGTTTAGGTGGTGCACACCTTGTCAAATTTACGATCAATCTCATCTGTAGTACCAAAAAATCTTTATGTGGAAGCATTATATAGGCCTTATGAGTAATTTAATCAAGTGAAAAAGCAAGAGAATGTTTTACAGAAGAATTATAAAGCTGTAAAATTAGTTTAGTTAGGATCAGCACAATACTCCTGCTACTGGTAACATTTAATGCAGTACAACTTTGCCATAAGTCCTACTGGTTTAGCGGACTTTCTTTTTTAGGCAAAGATAAGGAAAAGTAAACTCTGATTTAGAGTAGCCACTACCTTAGGGCTGTTGGTTATTTATTGAATAAATATGGTACATCAATTTAAACTCTTCTTGGGCGTATGTTAATGCTACTGGCTATTGTTTTGTCAAAACCTTCCTAGGTAAAACTTAAGGGGTTTACAGAAAATTTCTGTTCCAGTCTTACACATATTTTTTTATGACTAGCCTAGATAAACATCTGTGGTGCATTGTTTCCGGCCTTAGATGATGAACATTGGATCTTCTCAAGACTACTCATAGGATTTACCTAGTGCTTCCTGGGTAGTAGCTATGCAACATTTTTTTTTGTCCTATCTCCTTCTGAAGACACAGCTCAAAAACTCAATTTGATAGTTTTTAGGCATATATTACATAACATCTAAATTCAATTTGTCAAGACTTTCTACTAAAGGTTCTTGTAAACAAAAAAATATTTATATAATATTCCGTTTATGGTTTCCTTTATAATTTTATTAATTCAGTAACTCTTTTTTGATCAACTTTGACATTTAAAATAACCCTTTGTCACTGCTTTTTAGCTTTTTGGTATTTTAAATATTTTCTTTCATTCACTGCTTTCTAATTAAATAAAAACAATTAAGGATATGCACTTCTTATAAAAGTCTTTTTTTGTTATAAGTGTCCTTTAAAATAGATTTTGATAAAATCTAAGAATTAAATTAAGTACTTTTCTTTATTACAAATGCATATAATGCTTTTTTTCTGCAGTCTTTAATATCACATCTGCAAATTTGCAACCAGTTACAAAAAGATTTATTTAAATTGTAGAATTTAAAATGACCAGTAATTTTTTAAAATTTGAAATTCAGACTTTTGCCTTTTCTGTTAATGAATGAAGTATTTTTCAAGTGAACAATGATTTGTTTCTTTTTGATTTTTGTACTTAGTACTTGAAAATCTTTTAAAAAGTTATTTTCTTATATTTATCATTTTTAACCTTAATCAATAATTTTGATTCTTATTTGTGAAACAATTGGTTGATGAATTATTTTTATAACAGTGAGTTGTTTTTTAAGCTTGTTCCTAAACTATATAACTTAACAAATCATGTGAAGATCTCTAACATAAATATTATCTGGTAGTCCTGCAAACCACTAACTGGAGTGATGAGTTATGCTTTCAAGTGATTTAGCAAAATTTCTTATTTTAAATATTATTTTTTTAATATATATATATTTATGTACACACACAAATTGATATATATATTTTAAGGCAGGTGATGCTGTAGTGAAAACTTACCAAGGACTATTCTATGATCAACTTACTAAATCTAAAAACTATTCTATGATCAACTTGCTAAATCAACAACTAAATCCCAAAAGCTTTATATCAAGTTTTTCCTTCTCCTAGATAAGTTGCCTGTTGTTTAATGTAATTTGGTGAAGTTGCCTTTACCACAGCTTGCCTGGCTCATCTAAAAATAATTTTTTATGATATAATTGTGTTTTGCAACAAATATATAATAGTGTTATTGTCAACAACTTACAATTTCAATCTTTATATTATATATTAGAATGCATCCTGGTCATCCTTCCCTTCGACAACCATCTTGCTTTGATAGAGTTAAAATGGGTTTTATGATTGGTTTTGCAGTTGGCATAAGTTCTGCTGGAGTTTTCGGAACATATTCAGCTTTAAG